TACTTACTCAAGAATGCATTCATTTACTTCCAGTTGTCCCTTTTCTAGAAAATCTTTATATCAAAATTGTTTCCATTACATATTTATTCAAACATTAAAACCTCAGTGTCCATGCACGCAAGTGACTGTTCCTCAATTTTCTGCCCGCAGTTTTGTTTTCCTCCAGCACTTATTTTCTCCTGTGCTGGCGTCTTGACATAGTTACCACAAGAGCATTATGAAATCAGAATGTATACTTAAAATAGTTTTGTTTTCTTTTTTCTAAACTAAATTAGGGTGAAATCATTCATATTAAAATATTTTTAGAATAAAAGCGCTATGTGACAAAGATTTTCAGGTCTGTATGAAGCAATTAATATCCATTGAGGGGGACAACAAAGAAATGTTACTTCGGGAGGGAAGGGGGGGGGGGAATAAAAATTACTTGTTACGCATAAATTAAAAAGGTTCCAGACAAATGTTTAGTTACCACAGGTGCTTAGGGACGGGGAAAATTTATACCCTCCGATACTGAAACAGAACGTTCTGTTTTTGTATCAGAGGGTATGAATTTATAAAAGGCTTTAAAAACTAGCCTTCTTTCCCCTTAAATTTTTGATATTTCGGTTGTAATACTTTATAAATATATCATAGAAAAATATTATTTTAAAGTAAAAAAAACCCACTGGGGTACGGAACAACCGGGGGGAGGGGGGGCTGGTGGTGTTCCAAGCACCTGTGATAGCTACAACTTCGGATTCCAACAGATGATATACATATCCGACGATGACCTAATTTCTGTTGTTCTGTTCAATGTTCATTATAGTATACTTAACATAAAAAATTCGCCCTGTGTGCCTGGTTCAAATAGCTATTCAATGTAAAAAAAAAAAAAATTCTTATGAATCTATACTTTTTCACAATGTCCTGGTCCTATATCATGAATAAGAAACAACACATAAAATCAATTTTCCGCAGTTAAATATTATTGCGGAAATATTGAGCACACTCAGTAAAAGGTATTAAATACAAATTACATGATCCCTTGTCATTTGTGTTATTTTAATTTTCACTTTCACCCTTTTCGGCTTCGGACGAAACAGAATCGGTCGAAGAAGAATAATCAGTTTGCGTACTTTCTTAACTCAAATATACAAAGCCTATTCTTAACAGACAGATCTACGCATTGCTCTGATATATCAACATTTCTGTTCCCCAAAATTTGCCATAATTTTAGATAATCAAGTGCACTTTTTAGCTCACCTGAGCCGAAGGCTCAAGTGAGCTTTTCTGATCACATTTTGTCCGGCGTCCGTCTGTCCGTCTGTCCGTCTGTCTGTCCGTCTGTCCGTCTGTCTGTCTGTAAACTTTTCACATTTTCGACTTCTTCTCAAGAATTGCTGGGCCAATTTCAACCAAACTTGCCACAAAGTATCCTTGGGTGAAGGGGATTCAAGTTTGTTCAAATGAAGGGCCACGCCCTTATTCAAGGGGAGATAATTGGGAATTAATGAAAATTTAGTGGTATATTTTAAAAATCTTCTTCTCAAGAACCACTGTGCCAGGAAAGATGAAACTTATGGGGAAACATGCTCAGGTAGTGTAGATTCAAGTTTGTTCAAATCATGACCCCCGGGGGTAGGGCGGGGCCAAAATGGCCGACAAATGTTTGACATAGAAATATATAGGAAAATTCTTTTAAAATCTTCTTCTCAAGAATGACAAAGCCATAATTCATCATATTTATACGGAAGCATGCTCATGTAGTGTAGATTCAAGTTTGTTCAAATCATGACCCCCCCGGTAAGGGCGGGGCCAAAATGGCCGACCAAAGTTTTACATAGAAATATATAGGAAAATTCTTAAAAAAATCTTCTTCTCAAGAATGACAAAGCCATAATTCATCATATTTATATGGAAGCATGCTCAGGTAGTGTAGATTCAAGTTTGTTCAAATCATGACCCCCGGGAGAAGGGCGGGGCCAAAATGGCCGACCAAAGTTTTACATAGAAATATATAGGAAAATTCTTTAAAAATCTTCTTCTCAAGAATGACAAAGCTATTATTCATCATATTTATATGTAAGCATGTTCAGGTAGTGTAGATTCAATTTTGTTCAAATCATGACCCCCGGGGGTAGGGCGGGGCCAAAATGGCCGACCAAAGTTTTACATAGAAAAAATATAGGAAAATTCTTTAAAAATTTTCTTCTCAAGAATGACAAAGCTATAATTCATCATATTTATATGGAAGCATGCTCATGTAGTGTAGATTCAAGTTTGTTCAAATCATGACCCCCCCCCCCCCCCCCCCCCCCGGTAAGGGCGGGGCCAAAATGGCCGACCAAAGTTTTACATAGAAATATATAGGAAAATTCTTTAAAAATCTTCTTCTCAAGAATGACAAAGATATAATTCATCATATTTATATGGAAGCATGCTCAGGTAGTGTAGATTCAAGTTTGTTCAAATCATGACCCCCCGGGTAAGGGCGGGGCCAAAATGGCCGACCAAAGTTTTACATAGAAATATATAGGAAAATTCTTTAAAAATCTTCTTCTCAAGAATGACAAAGCCATAATTCATCATATTTATATGGAAGCATGCTCAGGTAGTGTAGATTCAAGTTTGTTCAAATCATGACCCCCGGGGGTAGGGCGGGGCCAAAATGGCCGACCAAAGTTTTACATAGAAAAAATATAGGAAAATTCTTTAAAAATTTTCTTCTCAAGAATGACAAAGCTATAATTCATCATATTTATATGGAAGCATGCTCATGTAGTGTAGATTCAAGTTTGTTCAAATCATGACACCCCCCCCCCCCCCCCCCCCCCGGTAAGGGCGGGGCCAAAATGGCCGACCAAATTTTTACATAGAAATATATAGGAAAATTCTTTAAAAATCTTCTTCTCAAGAATGACAAAGATATAATTCATCATATTTATATGGAAGCATGCTCAGGTAGTGTAGATTCAAGTTTGTTCAAATCATGACCCCCCGGGAGAAGGGCGGGGCCAAAATGGCCGACCAAAGTTTTACATAGAAATATATAGGAAAATTCTTTAAAAATCTTCTTCTCAAGAATGACAAAGCCATAATTCATCATATTTATATGGAAGCATGCTCAGGTAGTGTAGATTCAAGTTTGTTCAAATCATGACCCCCGGGGGTAGGGCGGGGCCAAAATGGCCGACCAAAGTTTTACATAGAAATATATAGGAAAATTCTTTAAAAATCTTCTTCTCAATCATTTTCTAAAAAATAGCAAATGCATGATTAGTCATGGGACTACTTTTGGATTTAAACTTTACGATAAAAAGCCATTTTATACTAGTCCTACCCTTGGTGTTCAGGTGAGCGATGTGGCCCATGGGCCTCTTGTTACTATACTTATGTAACTACATTTTGTCGAGTGTTCTCTTTCATGGGGAGATAGTCAAGAAAGGACAAATAGGGTGGGATCATTAAAAGAATCTTCTCAAGAACCACTGGGCTAGAAAAGCTGAAACTTATGTGGAAGCATCCTGGGGTAGTCAGAGGTTTAAATTTTCCTTAACGACATTGGATTGATATTTAAAGTCTTAAACTTTTTTTGCCAAGTATATTTTTAGCTTCTACATACATAGCTTAATTATACCCCACACAACTAGTTGCGTGAGGTATAATGTTTTTGACCCGTCTGTCATTATATCCCACGCAACTACTTGCGTGAGGTATAATGTTTTTGACCCGTCTGTCAGTCAGTCAGTCCGTCAGTCCTGTTTTTTTGTCAGCGCAACTTCTCATAAACTGCTGCACAGAATTTCGTCAAACTTTGCAGGTATTTAGGACACAATGTGTAGATGTGCATATTACCAGGAAATTCCGATTCCATTATTTTTTCCGGGAATTTCCACACTTTTTAACTTACATTTTTGGCCATACCTTGAATATAGAGATGAACAGTTTGTCAGCGCAACTCCTCATAAACCGCTGCACAGAATTTCGTCAAACTTTGCAGACATTTAGGTCACAATATGTAGATGTGCATATTACCAGGAAATTCCGATTCCTTTATTTTTTCCGGGAATTTCCACACTTTTCAACTTAGATTTTTGGCCATACTTTGAATATAGAGATTAGCATTTTGTCAGCGCAACTCCTCATAAACTGCTGCACAGATTTCCGTCAAACTTTAGAGATATTTAGGACACAGTGTGTAGATGTGCATATTACCAGAAAATTCTGATTCCTTTATTTTTCTGGGAATTTTGGCACTTTTCAACTTAGATTTTTGGCCATACCTTGAATATACAGATGAACATTTTGTCGGCGCGACCTCTCATAAACCGCTGCACAGAATTTCGTCAGACTTTGCAGATATTTAGGACACAATGTATAGATGTGCATTTTACCAGGACATTCCGAATCCTGTATTTTTCTGGGAATTTCGGCTCTTTACAACTTAGATTTTTAGGGATATCTTGAATATAGTGATGAACAGTTTGTCAGCGCAACTCCTCATAAACCGCTGCACAGAATTTCATCAAACTTTGCAGATATTTAGGACACAATTTGTAGATGTGCATATTACCGGAAAATTCCGATTCTTTCAATTTTTCCGGGATTTTCAGCACTTCAGTTTTGGGCGAGCGTGGGGAATGTGAGCTTGCTCACTTTTTCTTTCATTAAAATTCAAATCAAAAAATGGGGTCAATATGCTTCTTTTGGCGCTACAGTACATTTGATGTGACCTTTTTGCATTGAACTTTGTTTCTTAATTAAAAATTATATTTTTGACGTTTTCCCTCCAATATCTTTATCCAATTAAAGCATGAAACAAGATGAACTTAAAGTTTGTTTTAAAAAAGACACTTAAAAATTGTGCATAAGAAAAAGTTTTGAATTGCTTCACATAATCAATTATTTGACCTTTCTGCACTAATAAAAAGTTATTTTTCTGGCATTGAAAATTTAATAAGCAAGAAAATTATATTGAAGTCTTAAACTTTTTCTGATTTTAAGCAAATAGACCAAATGGCTCGCTACCGATATACCGAGTTACTCCCCGTTACTCCGCTCTTCAGTATCGATGGGTAGTTCCGGTTCGATTGGCTCTGCTGTAAACAAACTACGTTCAGTGTATTCAGTCAAATATAACGAACTACAAGGTAAAGAAAATTTGAGTATGATTATTAAAAGGTGTTACAATAAGGCAAGATGCAAAAGAATACACATCAACTGTACTTTTCAAACATAATTAGCAAGAAATTCTGAAATTGGAGAATAAAAACGTTACGTATGTTTGTGTAAAATCTGTGCTGGGGGAATTCCAAATTTAAAAATAGAAGTTGTTACATGATGTGTGTAATCGGCTGCAATACTTTTAATTTAATCAGATTTCTGACTTTAAATAATAAATTGAATATTTTATAAAGTGATGCGTATACATTTTTACCTATATTATTATAATAGTAGTACTATTAAACCTCATCAAAGCAAATTTTCACGTGTGATGTTATAACTTTAGGTCAATCCATGTATGGGTGGTGGACGTCGATATTGCGTTTTGTGTTCGCACTACCAGGGCCAAGTCACTGAAAACAATGAAAAAATTACCTTGCACAGAATTCCAGCAGGGTCAAGTGAAAGTGATAAGAAAAGAAGGGAAAGCTGGGTTCAGCGCATCAGATTCATTCGCCCAAATGCTCCTATCTCAGACAATACTAGAATATGCAATTTACATTTTGATAATAACATCTGTACTAAATCATCAGTGCCTACTAAACTGAACCTAAAATATGCAAAACCAGAAACTCAACGTAGACCCCTGGTGCGAATATCTCCAGTAAATAAAACTTTACCACCAATTAAGGAAGATGAAAACCATGATCCTGACACACAACATGAACAAATAAGTGCAAATACAAGTAGATCTAACAGCAGCTGTGAAGCTCAAATACAGGTTGGTTCATCAGATGTTAAATTAACATGTACTGCTGAAATCCAAGCTCAGTTTCCATTGATGAAACCTGAAGATATATTCCAAAATGATGACAAAACTAGATTTTACACTGGTTTTCCGAATTACAAGACATTTAAATTAATGTTTGATGTACTAATGAAACATGGCGGAGATAGATTAACATACTGGGAAGGGGAATTGCGCTCTATAGATGGTGACAATAGGAAGTACAATGACCCAAATTTTTTTAAACCTGGAAGGAAAAGAAAATTGAGACCCATCGACGAATTTTATATGGTTTGTCTAAGGCTAAGACTAGGCATGCTGCAGGAACATTTGGCTGATATGTTTTTTGTGTCAGTCATGACTGTTTCAAGAATTCTAAATACTTGGTTAAATTTCATGTATGACCATTACAAGGGGATGATACCTTGGCCAACAAGGGAGCAAATTTTAGCAAATTTACCAAAGGCATTTGTTGAAATGCAAACTGTGAGAATTGTTATTGATGCCACAGAATTTTTTTGTGAAAAACCAGGAAATTTGACAGCACAATATTTAACTTGGAGTGAGTACAAACATCATAACACATTTAAAGTATTAATAGGTGTTGCATCAAATGGTTTAGTTACATTTGTGTCAAGAGTCTGGGGTGGTCATACATCTGATCGTCATATTGTGCAGAAAGATGGAGACTTACTACTACCACATCTTCAAAGTGACGACATTATTTTAGCCGACAAAGGCTTCACAATTGCCGACTTGCTACCATGTGATATTGGACTAAACATGCCACCATTTGTGTCCTCATCAAAGCAGATGACAGCAGATGAATTCTTCAAAACTCAACAGATTGCTCAGCCAAGAATTGTTGTTGAGATGAAGATGGAGCAAATAAAAAACTTTAAAATATTACAGACTATTTTGCCTCTCTCCGAAGCACATCTTGCAGAGCAGATTATTTTAATTTGTACTGCCATGACAAACTTGTATGAACCACTGCTTAGATGAGTTGTTTGAATCATTCATAAACTTATTAAAACAATACTGTGTATAACTCATATAGTGCTAATGCTTTTGTGATTTAATAAACTGGTAATATCATGTGCTTTATTTCCTATTTTATTATATCAATGCAATTCTGACAAAAAAATGAATATATGACAAAGCATGTATTACAAATTTTGCCCCTTTTCATTGATATAAGGATCAGTCAATATAACTGCTTTCCATGTTTCACCCTGCGAGTGTAAATTTCAGCTACAATGTTTCTGGTATAAAAATATTACAATTTAAATAACATGTTATTGTGCCAGTAAGTCTGATCAAATTCAATTCTTTCTGTGGAAATTCCTTTTTTGGTCCAAATAACAAAATCTGCCCACTGGATATCTAATACTGCCATCTGGCCCATAACCTGGTAGAAATAATTATGTTGTCTTTTCAGATACAACTTTTCATCACGCAATTCACAACAAAATGATGGGTTACTGGCACATTCCTTTGGAAGTTTTTTTCTCCACTTATCTTCTTTTCTCCCATACGGACACTTGATCTCAACAACTCCAGTTCCACATATGGAGCATTGAACTTTTCCATCAACACTTGCTCCCAAAAATGGATGCTTGTTGCTAACATACAGTCCCATGTCTTCGACAAAAACATCACCTCTGCAGTTTTTTCTGTGATTCTGTACATACTGCCTACGGGCTTTACATTCATATTTTTTACCATGAGAAATACTGGAAGTGTTTGGTGGAGTATTGTACCCACAGAGTACTTTGACCAAATTTTCTGGAGGAGTTTCTTCTTTTCTCTTACAAATAGAACCAAAATTAGATGCAGTCAATACACAAGTTCTGGCTTCTTTCCAGTTTTTATTGTTGGCTTGACCACGTGTTGAATTGTTTAATTCAGACACAGTTAAGGGAGGTACTTCTAACCTGTTCACAAAGTCAATAAATTCTGACTGACACACTGCAGAGTTTAAATCAACACTATCCATAAACATGAAAGATGGTTCATAAATATTTAAAAAGGGTGTTATGTCTGCAGTCCTCGCACACATTGTTTGGTAAAGAACAGCTCCTGGATGAGCCTGCCCCAGTCCTTCCAGTATGTCTTTAAGAAAATTTTCAGGATCTTTACACGGGCCGGACATGTATACATCTGGATAAGGTTTCACTGGTGGATTATCAGATGTGAGAAACTTGATGTCTTGTAATCTTTTTGGACTTGGCGGTCTCTGAATTTCTTTGGGTTTTTTCCACTTACAATCACCTGAGGTACAGGGATTTTTTATTTTGACAACAGCAAATAAGGCGGCTCCAACATGGGCACAAAATCCAGCTTTTCCTGCTTTACAATTACAAGAGGATATTTCAATTTGTCCAGTTTTAATAATGGTAACATAGAGGCTGTAATGGTCATAATTTTTTCCTTCTATTTTAACTAAATGTCTCATACTTGGTCTACATTCTGCTGCAATACAACTGTATGTATGGTTAACATTATTCACTTTTATATTTCCAAGAAAATTTTCATCACAGAGTCTTCTTGCCTTTTTAAGCTGCCTTTTGCACTTTTTAGATTTACCTGAAACAGGATCTTTTGAATAGATAAAGTAATTAAGAATGTTCTCTTCCTTAACATCTGGACAATTCTCCGTTGTCAGCTCTGCCCACTGTTATGGGTCAGAATTACCCGAAATGCCAGCAAAGATCAATAACACAATTTAAACTTAACAATAATTTATTTACAGTAATATATAATAAATATATCAAACATAAAGTACAAACTTAGCAAGAATCTAAAAATACATACATCAGAGTGTCCGTTGCTGCACACAATGTCCCAGTGAAAATATATCCCATTTGTAACTCAATGGTGCTCATACGACAAGAGTATTGTATATCTATGCATCGAATTGACAGGGTATTTATACAGTAATATAAATCTAGAATATTCTAGAAATTGTTAAAACATGATATTACTGGAACAATCTGGACATACACAAAATTAAAGAATGTTCTAGATAAAATGACCAAACATGTTGACCACTCTGGAATGTTCAAGAAACTTAATGTTACTAATTATCTACATAATGAAACAATACACATCTCACAACACCTCCCCCCTTAAAAAGTTTGAATGTCAATGAAAAACTTAAATTGTAAAACATGTACATTAATACAAAATCTAGTATGTTTACGATACTCTTGACAAGGCGTCTGCAATAACATTGTCTTTGCCTTTGATATGCTTAATTGTTATGTTGTATTCTTGTAACAACAAACTCCATCTAGTCAGTCTTTGATTCTTGTTTGACAATTTATGCAAAAATGTCAGGGGGTTGTGATCAGTATACACAAGAACTGGATGCAAAGTAACATTCAAATAAACATCAAAATGCTGTAAAGCTAACAACAAAGCACGGCATTCTTTTTCAATAGTAGAATAATTTCGTTGACATTTTGTAAGTTTCTTTGAAAAATAAGAAACAACTCTATCTACATTATCACTATGTTCTTGAAACAAAGCTGCCCCGATTCCAACATCACTAGCGTCAACAGTAAGCTTAAATTGCTTAGAAAAATCTGGAGTTGACAGAACTGGGTTGCTCATCAGGATAGATTTGATTTGATGTCTGTTATGGGTCAGAATAACCCTAAATGCCAGCAAAGATCAATAACACAATTTAAACTTAACAATAATTTATTTACAGTAATATATAATAAATACCAGGGTATATCAAACATAAAGTACAAACTTAGCAAGAATCTAAAAATACATACATCAGAGTGTCCGTTGCTGCACACAATGTCCCAGTGAAAATATATCCCATTTATATCTCATTAGTGCTTATACGACAAAGTATTGTATCTCTATGCATCGAATTGACAGGGTATTTATACAGTAATATAAATCTAGAATATTCTAGAAATTGTTAAAACATGATATTACTGGAACAATCTGGACATACACAAAATTTAAGAATGTTCTAGATAAAATGACCAAACATGTTGACCACTCTGGAATGTTCAAGAAACTTAATGTTACTAATTATATACATAACGAAACAATACACATCTCACAACACCTCCCCCCTTAAAAAGTTTGAATGTCAATGAAAACTTAAATTGTAAAACATGTACATTAATACAAAATCTAGTATGTTCACGATACTCTGGACAAGGCATCTGCAATAACATTGTCTTTGCCTTTGATATGCTTAATTGTTACGTTGTATTCTTGTAACAACAAACTCCATCTAGTCAGTCTTTGATTCTTGTTTGACAATTTATGCAAAAATGTCAGGGGGTTGTGATCAGTATACACAAGAATTGGATGCAAAGTAACATTCAAATAAACATCAAAATGCTGTAAAGCTAACAACAAAGCAAGGCATTCTTTTTCAATAGTAGAATAATTTCGTTGACATTTTGTAAGTTTCTTTGAAAAATAAGAAACAACTCTATCTACATTATCACTATGTTCTTGAAACAAAGCTGCCCCGATTCCAACATCACTAGCGTCAACAGTAAGCTTAAATTGCTTAGAAAAATCTGGAGTTGACAGAACTGGGTTGCTCATCAGGATAGATTTGATTTTATGAAAGGATTTTTCACAGTCCTTTGTCCATTCAAAGTTAACCCTCTTTTGTAAAAGATTTGTAAGTGGACTAACTACTGAGGAAAAATTTGGACAAAATTTTCTGTAAAACCCAGCCATGCCCAAAAACCTCATTAATTCTTTCTTGTTTGTAGGAATCGGGAACTTTGCAATAGCTTCCACTTTAGCCATTATGGGTGTAACATAACCTTGACCTACTTTATGACCTAAATACTCTACATAAGCATGACAAAATTCACTCTTTTCAAGGTTCACAGTTAAATTTGCTTTAGCTAAAATGTCAAATAAAGCACGCATGATTCGGAGATGTTCGTCCCATGTGTTGCTATATATGACGACATCATCAATGTAGGCCTCGCATCCCTCAAGGTCTTGAAGAAGGGAGTGAATCATCCTTTGGAATGTAGCCGGTGCGTTTTTCATGCCAAAAGGCATTACTTTAAACTGGTAAAGTCCATCTGGTGTAGCAAAAGCAGATATTTCTTTTGCTCTTTCTGTTAACGGTACTTGCCAGTAGCCTTTCAACAGGTCAAATTTACTGACAAATTTCGCATTTCCAATGTTGTCAATACAGTCATCGATTCTAGGTATTGGATATGAATCAGTTTTGGTAACAGAATTCACCTTTCTAAAGTCTGTACATAATCGGTAAGAACCATCCTGTTTTGGTACAAGAATACACGGTGAGCTCCAATCACTTTTACTAGGTTCAACAATGTCATTGTCCAACATATACTGCACTTCCCTTCTTAGGTACTGCAATTTTATTGGATTCAGACGGTACGGATGTTGTTTGATAGGCAGAGCGTCGCCAACTATAACATCATGACAAGCTGCATTAGTTTTCTTTGGAACATCCGAGAAGATTTGATGATACTCATTCATCAAGTTTTTAACTTGTTCTTTTTGGTGAATGTTCAAATGTCCAAGTTTGGCATCAAAATCAGCCAAAATTTCTGAGTTTTTCAAACGAACACTCTGATTACAATCTTTCTCATTCATTTCTACACTCGTATCACTTTCAATATAATTTTGAACAGTCTTAGCATTGGCTAAAGTGGAAACTGGTTTTACAGAATTTCGGTCACACCTTTCAAAATACTCTTTTAACATGTTAATGTGACAAACCCGTTTCTCTTTACGTCGACCTGGTGTCTTAACTACATAGTTTACATCACTGATCTTGCTTTCAATTTCATAAGGGCCATAAAATCTGGCCTGTAAAGGATGACCAGGAATAGGTAAAAATACAAGAACCTTATCACCTGGCTTAAACACCCTATTTCTGGCATCTTTGTCATACCACATTTTCATTTTCATCTGAGAATTCTTCAAATTTTCTTGTGCTAATTTACAAGCATTGTAAAGTTTTTCTTTGAAATCAGACACATAATCTAAAAGATTAAGATCACTAGTCTCAGTCAGCCACTTTTCCTTCAACAATTTCAAAGGACCTCTAACTGTATGTCCGA